GGATTTCGTGGCGATTCATTGTATTCACTGGCTCCAGGATTCCACGGAACTGCCGGGGAGTGGTTTCGGGCAGTGGCGTCACAAGGGGGGGGACCGCGCCCGGGTGCAGCGCTCAGGGGGGGTGTCGCGACGGGATGCGGGGGGGAGGGGGGGGGGGCCGCGGCGGGCCACGCGAGAGCGGAGGGGGGGGGGGGGGGGGGGGAGTTCGCGGCGGGCCACGCGAGAGCGGAGGGGGGAGGGGGGGGAGCGGCGGGTCACGCGGCCGCGCACGAGCGGAGCGGGGGGGCGGGGGGGGAGGGGAGGAAGGAGGGGGGTGTCGCGGCGGGCTACCGCCGCGAGTGCCGCTGACCCTCGTGACGCCACTGATTTCGGGTGTCGTTTATTTTTGCAAGATCAGCGCGCGAAGGAACGACGGGCAATTACCATCGTTCATTATTTTTTGTCTGGAACTTGCTTGACATCGGACCCTGAAGTACTCGATACGGCCACTTTTACTTACATCAACTTAAAATCCGTTCTTACGTTGCGCTTAAATTTGACTCTCACGCTATTATCACAAAGCCAGTGACATACAGCTTCGTACACGAGAATCTGCGCTTAGACCTTTGGCCAGGAACCGTTTCCTCCTTTTCAAGAATATTGCGCTTGCCGGCGTGACGCGATCGTCGGGCTTTATTGACACACCCGTGCCGACAGCACATCGCAACCGCAAGCAGGGTCCGCAAAACAGCACCCCCCATGTCTGATTTCACAAAAACGCCAAAAACAAACTGTTGCACTGGATGTGTAAATTAGAAAAAAAAATAGAACACATTTCATCAAATTCCAGAGGCCGGTGTTTATTCCAGAACAAATTAACTAATCGCAAATCAGTCGGCGCTTCAAGAAAAAATATGTGAAAAACATGCTGCTCAACTAAATCTGCGTACATTGCAGCGGCGTTGAGCGCGCGTGTTCAATTTTCCGTTTGCTAAGACCCCGAGTTCTTTCCAGACTGAAAAGAATGGCCGGGTGCTTCAGTCAAATTGATCGTCCCACCTTTAAATAAACAACAAATATCAGTTTCACATGCTACGTAATTGCATCCTGCTGGTGCGTTTTCTTCGCGAAAGCGAACTTGCCTCAGAAGCTTCAAGCAAGAAATGCTTTCTAAAACCGACATGTGCTAAGCCTTTAGTTTTTCAAATGAAACGCGACACGCAAAACTTCCGACACGAGAAAGGCTTAGATGTTGGCTGGTATTTCTAAGTTCAAGAAGAGGCAAGACTGCTCTCGCTGCACCAACGTCAAAACTTCGCAGTTTGAGAAACTGATTTTTAGAATTTATTTAAAGCGGGAACGACCCATCTGACTCACCTTGCACCGCCAACACACCTGGAATGCGGTCCGCACGGACCGCACCACAAGTTACGAAAGCCTTGGCCACGCGTGGTGTAAAGCAAAAGCGTTGTATGTGCAAGTGGCGCTAGTGATCAAGTACATAACAAAGAAGTTTATTCCGCGGGAAATCGCATTCACTGATGTAAGGAATCGAAACAAAGTAAGGGGTACCGCGAATGTAAATATTTATTTACATTTTTATTTTCATCTCAAAATTAAGCAAGCCGGATTTTAATCCACGTTTGGATAGGTTCCACGTGGACTCATGCTTATCAGAATTTGTAAATACGAAATAGGCTTAGCGTAGGCAGTCAAAACATAGATGACATAGATCTACCCTGCCATCCATTACACTATCTACATACAAAACATAGATTACATCTATGTTTTGTATCATTTCTTTGTTCTATGACTCTTCATTCTCTCTTTCACCATAAATACGAGCGAAGGTGAGCTCGTGACGTGTCAACATCGACCTCACATTGCTTTCGCTCGCACTGAGCGTGAAACGAAGTGTAGGACATGTGGGGCACGTTTCGGCGGTGCACGCGTCGACGTGTTCAGAACTAATTTGTTCTACGTCATCAAGGTTAGCGTAACTTCTGCAGGGCAAAAATTGCAAATTGGGTTATGGGGATATTTTTACAGCGTGTAGTTGGTCAGCCATTTAAAGTTGCGACGAGTACCTCGCGGTAGATGAGCAATTTAGCCGGTGCAGTACAACCACTAGCCTGGGGTCTTTAACGTGCACCACGCAGTAGTGATACACGACCGCACGCCGGTACGACGCTCATCCAGATCGAAACGGGCAGGGGTGGGGCTCGAACCCAGGATCCCTGGGTTCTGCAGCGCGAGCTTTCGCTCCACGCGCGTCGAGCTGGGTGTGCGCTTTAGCCCACTTCTGCAGGGCTCCAATTTCGTCAAAGCTGGGGTGAGCACGTGCAAATTAGAGGCAACGCAAAGCCTCGTGGGCGTGCTCTTGTAGTTAGTTTTCTGAATGCGCTGATCACGTGCGCTGAACCTGTAGCTATGGCTCCAGAGAAAAATTGGGGAGTGTGTATGTTTATACAGCCTAGAATTTGGTCTGCCTCAACGGCCGACGAGTCTCCCAGCTGTAGATGAAAAATTTAGCCAATGCAGTACAACTGATAGCGCAGGGTCTTTAACGTGCATCACGCAGTAATGATACACGAAAGCGCGCCGGTAGGATGTTCATCCAGATCGAAACGGGCAGGAGTGCGGATTGAACCCAGGATCCCTGGGTTCTGTTGCGCGAGCTTTCGCTCCGCGTGCTCCGAGCTGGTGTGCTCTAGCCCACTCGGCCGCCGATCCCGCTCCGGAGGGAAACATGTCTTCTGTTTAGACACGCACAGCAAGTTAGCGAGTGGATTACACCGCTGTATGCACTGAAGCTGTAGCAATCTAGAAGGTCCACGAAAAAAAAAAAAAATACAGCCATGCTCGATGGCAGGTTGAAAGTAAACGCTGGGGAGGGGGTCGGCTCCTCCCGAGCGTTCGCTCTGCCAAAGTGGAAAGAGATGGGAGGAGCTGCTTCATCTCAAAACTGAAAGTTTTCATATGAAGCAGCTCCTCCCTCCTTCGATTTGTGTGTATGTTGATAAGGCAAAAAAACGCAGTGCCTCTTATGCTCATTTAGCGACGCAGCCAGGAATATTTTCTAAGGTGGAGGGGGAGGGGGGGGGGGGGACGCTTCTCCCGCCTCTCCTGTATTTACATCACTGGTGTATTGTCGGCTGTACATGATCTTGAATTTCTCAAATCAACCTGTTTTACTGAGCCACAAAACACGGCCTGTAATTCAAACCAAACCAAAAAAAAAAAAAACTTAAAAAATACGTACATTTTCTTAGCAAAAAAATAAAAACTTAAAACAGATATCCAGTGAATGATTAAGCAATTACATGTATTCACAAATAAGAAATCAAGTCGAATTAAGATATTGAACACCGTTTGTTTGAAGGACCAGATGGACATGAGTTGATGCAGATTCCAATCAGCAAACAAAGGTTATCAAGCAACGTATAACAGGAGAAGAAGCTGGGAAATTATGTCTGCTCGCATTCGATTGACTTCAAAGTTCGTATAGAGTACGATAACTGCAGTAATGTCAACCGTAGTGACACCGGCCCCAGAAATATGGACTGAGATAGAGTGGGGTCGAAACCGAAACTATTAAGTCGTATTTCAATCCTTGGCTGCCTTGGCTGGCTTGGCTTCGTGCCAATTCAAAGCCGCAAGCAACTTCTGGATCCTTGTTCGTTCCGGAGAGGACACAAAGGCCTTTCTCGGAGTGCGTCGGTCGATCCGAGTTTAGGTAAGTTTTGCCGATTTCATATTCATAATGCATGCTAGAAGAATATCCAGATATGCTAGATCATCTTCGGAACAACGTAGCTCACGTTGCCACCGTAATTCGGATGATTTTTCACTTTTTTCTACGATTTGAGTCGAAAAAAGTGAAATCGTCTTAGCACTAACCGGCGGCGGCGGGCGCCGCCGCCGTCGCGGTGCCGCCGTGCCGCTATCCTGAGAATCCCGTGAATGCTCTGCGACACCGGAGCACTGCAGAGACGCTGATTAGATTGTTTCTAAAGTACGCGTTGCTATCAGTGAACTGTTCTGTGTTGTTAAACGCTTGATTGCGTGTCGTCTCGTCCTTTTTCATGCTAGCGGCAGCGTTGAGTTGTGCCCAATGTTTTGAAACTCCCGGCCCGCGCGCTCTGGGTTTTCACGCCGCGTCCAGCGGGATGGCGCGGTTCGACTGGCGCTGGCGTTTGGCGTATTGATAGGACACGCTCCTAACTGGGTGTCGTCGTTGTGCTCGTGTACGGCGTGTGCCTCGCGCCGGCGTGCGGTGCGTGGCGTTGGGTTTGAGGTGCTTGGGCCTTGAGTTTCTTATACTTGGGACACACAGGCAACTCGAATGCCATTTAGAACGAATGACATTTGAGCGGACGGCCAATCGGCGCGCGACACTCCGGGCGTGACGCATTCCACGCGCGACAGATAGCGAGCTGATTCGCCGATCACACAATTGTCATTCGTTGTAAATGGCATTCGAGTTGCCCGTGTCACACGGGTATTAAAAGTGTTGACCGAGCCCTGTTAATCTCATCGTTCTTGTTGTTTTCTCCCTTGTTGCCTGTTTGTTATTTTGATCATCTTGCTCTGGTTGATTGGCTAGCAGACGATCGTGCGTACGGGCCCCTGCATATATGTCTAGCCTTGCGAGCCACCCAGGGTACTACAGTCGCTAATAATGATTATTATTGCTTGCCTTAGCGACGTTTTAATTTACCCCGGCTACATTCGTGACTGGTAGAACTCGTGGGTGCACAAGTAGTTTACATGGCTGAGGAAAGAGGTTGAATGATTTGATTAAAATGCTCAGATCTGGTATAGAACGTTTAGTGGTAGTGGGGAGACACATACAAAGCAAGGAGATCCAGCTTTGAATGTGATGGCTCCCTACTTACTACAACGTTTAAATACCTGAGGCCCTGGTAAAGTTGAAGGGAGTCTCTTAAAACATTTGTGGAAAGACCCAAAGCTGGCTACAATAATAGTCTAAAAGCTGGTCCACACTGTTGCAACCGACTAGGACTGACTCCGACGAAACCAGTCTTTAAGCCTCTTGTGACGGCTTATGACCACGCCGTCCAGCAGTAATAATGGCAGTCGTAAGCGGCTTAAAACTCTGCTTTGTTCAACTCGGTCGTAGTCAGTTGCAACAGTGTGAACCAGCTCTAACGCCTCTTAGGCGCATGCGCAAACAGTAGCTTCAGGATAAACTTGCGCATTGCACTGCCCCAAAGGATATCGATCACATCCCCGGTGTTTATTTTTAATCTGGATCCCTGCACTGCAGAACATGTCAAGAGGCTTGTTGATTGCTGTGCATGTGCCTATCAAGCGAGCTGTGCTACTTTTAAGTGGTGTTTAATTTGTTTTTAGCTTCCTGGGATTTCTTAAGGTACCAGTAGGTATCTAAGCTCTACATGCACATTGTTCTTAACAGGCACTTCACCAGAAATTTGTTTTTTTTTTTTGGGGGGGGGGGGGAGGGCCCAGCAAAATGAACGATTTTGGGGGGGGGGGGATAGGGTAGGTAATAAAGAAAAGGTGAGGTAGGCTCCTACCCCCCCCCCCCTTTCCGGCTGCGTGCATGGTTCTTAATACAATTACGTCATGAAGAAGCTCATTTTCTTTGTTTGGTTGAGTTTAATGGTGCTGTCATCATGGTCTTTGCACTGTCGACAACAAGAGAAGCGTAATGTTGGCACTTTTTCTTTTGTTGATCTGTGAAGCAAGTTTTGGTTTCTTTTTTCGTTCCAGAATATCAGTCTGATTCTTATTCATGGTATTGCAGGAAGTCTGTATCATCAAGAAAAAACTGCAGGTGGCTGGAAGCTGCCGATCAGCTGCCAGTCTGGATAGTAGCCATCAACTCAGCAAAGGCCTGCAGGCGAATCAGCCCAACCTGTTTCTCTGCTGCCTTTCAAGACAGGATGCTTTGTGAAAAGTGAAACGGGGCCCACGCACTGCTTCCGCAGGGCCCTGCTGGTATTTATCTGACCTTTTGTTCTCCTAAACAAATAACACCATTACAAACTGTAATATACCGAGCAATTGCCCACTCTAAATTGGGGATGACCATGGTGAGCTGGGGGATAGAGTAGGTAATAAAGCAAAGGTGTACATGGTCGGGTGGTCCCTTGGTCTGACCACGGAATTACAAACAGCTGCCATTTGCAAAGCTGGTTGACTGCAAACACGTAAAAACAAACCGTCTGTTTGTTTGTTTTTTTTCGTTTTTTTTATTACAAATTAACATCCTAAAGAATGGTTGCTTACGCATTTGCTTGTTCTTGTTATAAAGCCTTAAATTTATTCTTCCGAGTTAGAACAAAAAAGCAACCCATCTTTTTTGGGGCACAACTTTCTTTGGCAATGAAGAGAAAACTACGGAGGGGGGAGGCAGGCAGTGCCAATGGCTCTGTGTTAGTGCACCAAATAGTTATGGTTTTTTTTTTTTTTGTCTCGGTTTCAGTTAGGGTTTTGGCATGTCAACCACGCAGTTGCTTCAGTGCATGTTTTTGTACAAGGATTGCGGTTGAGGGAGCTGAACCGCGATCGCCGAGCATGGAGGCATATTCAGATCTATTTCTGAAGGCTTCACCCGTTTTTAAGCGTAAGCCAACACTTTGACTGAAGCACTCGGACAGACTTGCAAGGTAGATTTCACCGTGGTCAATCTCCTAGAATTTCATTTGTCTCTCAGCTGACGAAGATAGGCAGTGTCGAATCAGGAAAAGCTGCAAACTTCATGATAGTAGATAAGCGCCGGAAAAATACCTAGACAAAAATTTGACGTGAACACTGGCGTACCGGCAACTAACATTTATTAAAAACAAAATTTCTTGTATAGTAAGTGGTAAGGATGCAGATTTGTGGTAATGAACTGTCCTCTCATGTTGATATCTTTTCAGATATATCAGTGTTTAGAAGGGAGCTAAATTTTTATCTTTAATTCGTGATTGCATGTTAGTCTGTTCTTTTTTTACAAGTGGAAGACATTGTGTTAAGTCATGTACTACCATTTTATGTGCCACCACACTATGACCTAGTGGTCGTTCTGGGGCATGATTCAAATAAAACATTACGGTATTATTATTATTATTATTATTATAGCTGTGAAAAACGTCAGTCATGACTACAACTGGTCAACCCTCTATCAAAAAATTAATTCTTTTGCCGATAAGGTTATGGATGTGTCACTTGTACACCTGGTGCCTTTGGCTTTAATCTTAAATGCCTGGTGTAGCTCTCTAGATTCTTTATCTGGGTATCTGGCCAAAAATTTGGTGTCTTTAAACGACTGGGAGCAAAAGCAGCGTCTGCAGTGTGTGGCCAGATGTCGTGATGGAGATCGCTTGTGTGGCCACCTCGCGTTCGCGGGCGCAGTCATTAATACATAGGCCTGTCTGACCTGTGTACACAGAACCATATGACATTGTGATTCCGTACACAACTTTGGTTGTGCATTCTGTGAATTTTTTGCAGTGTTTAGTTTTGCATTTGTCTTTTCCAAGGGCCGCTGCTGCAGCGACAACACACATCAGCTGCTGCCCTTGTTTCCCGTCATTTAATGACACCAAATATTTGGCCAGATACCCAGATAAAATGTCTAGAAAAAGCTACACGTGGTGTTTGAGATTATAGCCGAAGGCACGAGTTGTACAAGTGACACATCCATAACCTTATCAGCAAAAGAATATGAATTTCTTGATAGAGGTCTACATTGGTTGTAATCATGATTGACATTTTTCACAGCAATGTAACAGATTTTATTTTTTTTTCAATAATGTTAGTTGCGAGTGCGCCAGTGGCAACTTCTTGACCCTGTATATTTTTTTGGCGCTTGTCAATGATCATGTACCACCTGACCCAAATTGCCACATGAACAAATTTCATGAGTGCTGCCGCGTTTTGAGGTCAGTTATCTGTAAACTCTTCTGGTGCTGAAAAACTATTGCGCGGGAGGAATATACAGAAATAGAAGCACGCACACTCCACGGCGCGAAGTCGCATTCCATTTGGATCGCATTCAGTTATGGCTGGCCCTAGGGGGTCGCTGGCACACCACAGCTCAGAATATGTGTAGTGAGGATTGCGCTGCAGAACCCAGGGGTCCTGAGCTCTGTCCCCACCCCTGCTCACACACACCAGTGAGCTTGCTAGCCAACCAGCATACGGAAACAACTAGGAGTCCCGGTTCCCACTGTCCCATTTGTCATACACGTTGCACACCACTTGCTTGGTTTGTTTTAAGATTTCTTGGTTGCCAAACTTCATAAAAATCTTACATGTCAAACAAAGGGGCAAGCTCACAGAGTGCCTGCAATAAACCACACTGATGATGCCCAAAGATGCGCATGATAAAGATGCCATCTTAATTTTGCAGGGAGCTAGAAAACCTAGGGTGAATTTAAACCAAGAAAACACAAAATAGCTAAAAAGGAAATCCTCTAGGTTTGGCACATCCTGGCTAATGTTATGCTAACATTCTAAAGTCAAAGCTAAACAGAACAATTTTACATATATTTTAATTGGTTACGTTCCACCCAGCAAATTATTATGGTAGAACTATATTCAGCTATGCAGTGAAATGGTGGATACTTGGGCTAGTTGGTGGTTGCTATACATAATTAAACAGCGCACAAGGAGAGGGACAGAAAAGGAAGACAGAACAGGCAAGCGCTGTTCTGTCTTCCTTTTCTGTCCCTCTCCTTGTGCGATGTTTAATTATGTATAGTGAAATGGTGTCCTTTGGCTCTCTAGCTTTAGCTCCATTGCCACGGAACGTTGTCCCCAAGTATATCACTTTCTAGATCTTTTCGACTGCACCCCTCCTATTCCTCTCCTGCTTTGCTGTTCTACTCGTTCTATCCCCATTCTGTCTGCCAGTCGTGGAGATAAACGCCCATGACGACAGGGTGCCTGATGTCTCTTTCATATATTTTTTTAACTTGCGTAAAATAGAGGAATAGGCATTAATATGTCCTTAGATGAGTTGATATGTTTCAAAAGTAGGGGTTGAGCGCTTACTCTGCCGCGGGTGCATGCTCTGTGTTTTTTGGTAGTTTTATGGTGTTGTGCGTTACTAGAATAAGTTGGGCTTTAGTATAGTTACCGCATATGTGTACAGTAATTCACGCAGTTGTTAATGGCCGTTAGTACCTAACTCAACCCTGTGCAGGGTAAGGGTGTCTATGAGCTGAAAATTGGTATTGTTGAGAAATTTGGCAATTGGAAAAGTCTCAAGATTTCCAGCCTAATCAGTATCGATCAGGGAATTTCAGCCTTCCTTTCTCTGAATGTAAGCAAAAGACACGTGTGGTGTGGCACATGCACCTTCCTCCTACTCAGCAACTCGGCCGGCCTGCCAACGTAAATCTTTGCTGGAAACTAGAGTCTTGGTAGAATCCAGAGATGCAACTTCATCTCGAAATGTATTTACAAGGCAAACTTCTATACTCTCAACAAACTGCTGCTGCTTATGGCGGATTTGTGGAATGGCTTCATAGTGCGAGAGTTTGTCTCTATAGCTACCCTAGTTGCTCCTGAATAAACTTCTAGGGGATCTTTTCCGGGCTGTGAACATCATGACAGTTGAGGTAGTTTCTGCTGGAAAAGGGAAGGGGGCAGAGAGGGTATCCCTCAGCTTGACAGTCCATAGAAGCTTTGTCAGCCAGGATTTTGAATGTTGCGAGGACATTGACAGCTGTGTTAGCTCATATATTTTTTGCCAAAAGTTGTACGACTAACCGTTAGGATTGCAACATCCAACAGCATGACATGCCAGCTCCTGTGGTGTCATTTAATCTTGTCGCTTAGAGACCACTTTTGGTACATGGGTTATATAGAACACTAAACGAACCAGTTGGAGGCGCATTCCAGGCACCATAACGTAGCCTCTGCTGCTGAGATGTTCTTATTGCAGGTATAATTTCCGATTCTGTTTTTTTTTTGTTTTTCAGTGGGAGCTCATGGAGGTGGCACGGTGCATGGAAGGACAGAGTGGCTGACAGTGAGCTGCCCAAGCAAGCTGCTGGCTCTTGTGACCGTCTCCGAAAGCCTGTGGATGGGCTAAATTGCAGACGTGCCTGGACATTTATAAATGGTAAACGCAATCTAGACTACCTTTGAATTATGCCTTGGTCTAACGGATGTAGCTTGGATGTCGTGTTTGGCTGCTAGAATGGAACTGGATAGTGTTAAGCAGCACATGTCACCAAGTAGGCACACGCTGGGACGCTTATCCACAAACTCGGCTTCCCAGTCCACGAGCCACCAAAGACCCAGCCAAAGAGATCCCGAGTCATCCATGATTTCATGTTTCATACGTATATGATGGTTTTACTGCAACAGCTCATACTATTTGGCATTCTAAACTTTCCCATCACTAAGAATACATTTTTGTGGTGCCATCCATGTTGGTTTTCAAAAGCTCTGATATCTGGGCCTTGTTCTGTTAGTTTCCATGCGAACTGTGAATCGCTTGCCAGGGATGCTTTTGCCACTGCAGGCCAATTTCCTTGGCAAGGCATTTAACTATTTCTGGTTTCATACTTGGCTTCAATTGATTGTTGAGCCATTGACTTTCTCTTTCGACGCTGGCACTGCCACCATAATAGTCCCATCACATACACTGGCACTACTGCTCGTTACAAAAGGTACAGCCGTTTGCATCTATCTATCCATCCCTTAGATGGTCTTTTCTCCTATGCCATGGTGGCCCTTAAGTTAATGTAGCTATCCACTTGCAGTGAAGTTCTTCACATCAAGTTAAAAGGAATCTTTCACATTCTTTTAGAAGATTCTTCACTTCAAGAGTAAAAGGAGTTTTTCACATGCCTTTAGAAGATTGGTCCCAATATAGGAATGTTGCTTGCCCCGACATCTCTAAACCACCTCTGTAGTGGTTTCTCGATGTCTTAACATGCCGTGCGTCAGAATGTGTTTTGTCGCGCTTTTATGTCACACCGCTCTTGAGTAGTTTACTAAGATCTTGTGGGCTCCAGTGACACAAAACGTTTTGTCTCCTTCTCCACATGCCTTATTATTTCAAGTTTTGTTGCAAATGTCAACTTTGCCCTCTAGACATTCACAGTCATAACAACTCTCACAGAATTCAGTGGTTATTGTACTCTTTTTACTGGTTTCCTTTTTGAGCAAAATGTGCGAGTGCCAAAAGCACAAGCTCGGAGGAAGGGATCAAGAAGAAAGAAGGTGGAACCCGCGCACGGTGTGGTTGTGGTGGAACGCGAAGCAAGGCATCGGCGCTATGGCCGGTGGAACGGCAAGCAAGGCTTCGTGGGTTTGGGTGGTCAAACCTTGAGCAAGGCTTCGTCAAGACTGTTGGTGGGCCCCGAGCAAGTCTTCGACAATGTGCCTGTGCTTGTTAGTGAGCACTGTGTGGCGCTGTAAGCACCCAAGCCACCACCGACATCTTGGGACCATGATTGGACTCTCCTCCTCCTCCAAATGTATGGCATCTTTGATTTGGCTTCTGTTCCTTTTGTTATGCTTTCAAAGCTTTTGTGTTTTTCCTTCTGCGGTTATGAAGAGTGGAACGCTTGCAAGATATGTTCTATTCCTTTATTTATTCCTTTTTTTTACGACTGTGTGTGCGTCCTGTGCACAAACGGTCGTAAAAAAATGAAAATAATAAAGGAAAAGAACATATCTTGGAAGCCTTCTGCTCTTCGTAACAGGGGCAAGAAAATCACAAAAGCTTTGAAAGCGTAACAAGGAGGGAACAGAAGCCAAATCAAAGACGCTATACATTTCGTATGAGGAAAGTCGAATCATGGTCCCAAGATGTCGGTGGTGGTCCCAGTCCCTTGCGGCACCAGTCGGAGTCGAGAACTTGTGGTGGCTTGGGTGCTTATAGTGCCGAACAGCGCTCGCTCACAAGCACATGCACATCGTCGAAGTTTGCTCAGGGCCCACCAACCATCTTGACAAAGCCTTGTTCGGGGTTCGACCTCCCACACCACTGAAGCCTTGCTTGTTGTTCCAACCACTGAAGCCTAGCTCTACGCAGCTTCCGCCTTCCTTCTTTTTTTCTTTTTCTTCTCTTCCGAGCTCGTGTTTTCGGCACTTGTGCATCTTACTCAAAACGGAATCCAACGAAGAAAAAAATCATTCAATTCTGTGACAGCAACATGTAGGCCTATTTGTTGGTTGATTCTAATGTCAAATATCCATGATTGTCCACATTGGATATCATTTGCCTGCGGTGTGTTCTGCAGCCACAAACATCTGCCATGCCACCGCTACGCATTAGTGTTCAGTGGAGAAACCTGCTACGTGGCTTCAGAGCATGCAGTCATTAATTTCAACACTAGGGAATATGACAGTGATGTCTCATGCAAATGGACACCTTCGTTCCTACCCAAAAGCGTCCATAATGTGAGCTGTGCATAATAACAGGACAAAATGCAGGTATTTACCCGGTTGGTCCCCGAAAACGGTTTTTATATAGCAGAGTATCCATATTATTGAGACATGACTGTTTCCCCACCCTGCCCGAGTCCTACTAGAGCGACAAAGAGAAACACCTGACACTGATATGCCTCAAGACTGGATAATACGCCAAAAAACACAGACGAAATGAAGGAAGATCTGGGCAGGGCACGTTGTAACTTAACTGAATAGTTTACTTTGGTAAAAAAAATATATCTACTGATAGGAAGTAACACATGCTGTGTGAACACTGTAAACCTGATTCGCATGGTGTGATTTTACTCGCGAGTTTGCTGTTGTGACGTCACTCATGCAGCGAAATATAGGCATGGGGGAAGCTGCAGTGCCTGATGTCACAGGTGTAAATTTGCAAGTGAAATTGCGCCATGTGAAGTGGGCTGATGCGTCGTCTGAACGCACTCCCCCAGAAACGAGCGTCATTGGCTCTGCAGACCGTGGAATTCTTTGTCATGTATTAGTAATGAGGGTGGGCTCACATGAGTTGTTATTCTAGGATTTCATCAAGAAGGCATTGTGAATTTTCCTCTTTGCTTTTGTCTTGTAGCAGCCCATGACACTAGTCTTTTTCTAAGTTGGACTTGCACTCACAATGGACACAGTGAATTGCTAGGTGACCTTCTGGATAAAATACCAGGGTGACAACTCTTGTCTGAGGTGCACCCTTAGTGTCATTGTCTGACAGAATTTCACTCTCTGTGGAACTAGTGGCACTGGTTTCTGAGGAAGTGCATTTTGACCTTACAGTGTTCTGCCAGCAGGTGTCAGTTTTTATCTGTATAGATGCTCTTAGGGAGTCAGTTACTCAAGCTGCCACCAGTCGGCGCGCTTAACGGGCTGCCATAGCTGACCTTCATTTTGTCGCCGTTGTTTCGCATTGTGTGCTGCACCGGTCACCACCAGAGCTTTGTTTTCGTGTTCTTTTACGTTCCGCTTTGAAGTCGAGTGTTTTCTTTAGGTCTTTTTGATATTTCAGGCTTTCATTTATTCATTTGATACCTATGTTTCAATATAGATGTATTTTCTTATTTTTAGAATGGAATCGGACAGTGAATGGATCACGATACAAAATCATGGCCTAGGCTTTAGAGAACATGTAAGTTCATCACATTCTTTTGCTTTTGTCGCTAATAAAGGGCAGTCAACACCATTGCGACATATGAAAATATCAACTGACGCAGTGAGGCTATCTCCAGATGCCAGTCGTTGGTTTGGCACGCAAAACCCCCAAATTTTTGGCAGTGAGGCTCTCGCAGTCATGCTTCTCGGTGCATGTGCGTGCTTTTAGACATTGTTTCCGTAGATAAAAGCCGGACCGCATGGAAGCGCTTTAGCAAGCAAGACGAGAGACAACGACGAGTCAGCAACGAAAGTTTCTCATTGCCACCCGTCGCGGCGCTCGGCTTTTGGATTTCTAGAAAACCGCATGAAAGCGATTTGGGGAGCAACGAGACAAGCGACTCGCTTCGCTTTCGCTCGATCAGTCGCGCGACGAGGCAAACCGCACGCAAGCGACCAAAACGATGAGCGACGTTTTCTAGAAATCCAAAAACCGAGCGATGCAACGGGCGACAGCGAGAAATCTTCGTCGCTGACTCTCATCGTTGTCGCCGTTGCTCGTCTCGCCGCTCGCTTGAGCACTTACATGCGGTTCGGCTTTTACTTACAGAAGCAATGTCTAAAGTTCGCACAGGCAGCAAGAAGCACGACTGCGATAGCCTTACAGCGTCAGTTGAAATTTTTATGTGTCGCAATGGTGTTGACTGCCCTTATTAGCGATAAAAACAAAATGTGATGAACTTAATGGTCTCTGAAGCCTAGGCCATAATCTTGTATCGTCGATCCATTCGCTGTCCGATCCCATTCCATAAATAAGAAAATACAAGAGCGATGTTCAAATGTCGATATCAAATGATTAAATGAAAGCCCGAAACATCGAAAGGACCTAAAGCAAACACACGATTTCAACGCAGAACGTAAAAGAACTCGAGAACAAAGCTCTGGTGGTGGCCGGTGCAGCACACAAAGCAGAGCAACTGCGAGAAACTGAAGGTCGGCTGTGGTGGCAGGGTCACGTGACGTCAAGGTGGCGGCGGCGCACCCATGAAATGTTGCCTGAAAGGGTCTATATGTATTTCTGTTTTTTTATACGAACCATTCAGTTGAAGGTTATGCAGTGTTCTGTCCAGATCTTCCTTTGTTGTGTCTGTGTTTTTTCGGCATATTATTCAGTGATGAATAGCCAACTTGCCATCTTAAGCCCCAAGACCATGCAGCATGCATACCAAGATATCTTTTGGCAGGCTTGCAATAACTTGTGCTTTTTTCATGAGCCTCGAAAAATGGGAAGCCTGCAAAGGTATCTTCGTGTGCATGCTGAATGTATTTAAGTCGTGTCAGGGTCGGTTGTTGTTCCTCTTGGTTGCTTTAGTAGGACTCTCATCCCATTTTACATTGAAAGTTTATAATACAATTTCACAAGGATATTTCTCACATTCATTGTATTTATTGATTCAATATAGTCAAGTCAGACTGAATGTTTTTCTGATCTGATTTTCTTTTGTGTCGTTTTAATTACTAGGGAATTTGGTGTTTTGTGGGTTTATAGCTTCAGGGCTGTCAGTGGAAGTTGAGACCACTTTATATTGCAACCTTAGAGGTAGCTAGGTGTAAAGGTGGGCGAGTTGATTGGTGGTCATATTGAATGAGTTAAAACAGCGCAAAAAAGATGGACCAGTAAAATGAAAGACAGCGCTGTGTTTGTGATTAAACATGAGGAAGATGCATAGAAAGGGGGGACGGACAACGAAGTTGTCAGTCTGTCCCCCCCTTTCTCTGTGTCTTCCTCATGTTTAGTTACTGTTACCAACATGCTCGTTTTGTACATAACTGTGTCTGTGTTTCCTTTTACTGGTCCTTCGTCTTTTTAGAGGTAGGTAACATAAATACCAAAAAGTACTTCTATGCATTTAAAGAAAAGCAGATAGAAAACATTGTCTTTACAGTGAAGTTGTACTTATGGCTTGGTTTTACTATCAAGAGAATCAAGAAAAATTCCCTTGCGGCAATTCAAAGTCTGCTTTCAAACGATCTGAGCAACCTTCCACAGTACTGTATGTTATATGTGGTGTTCACATTGAGGTGCTCTAACTGGCTTTTATTTTGCATTTACTGACAGCAGTATTCTACAAATGGAGGGAAATCATGTTTGTCACTGTCAAGTTCTGTAGTTTCTGCGTTATGTATTCTCCTGCAGTATGAAAGACCCAGTAGGAGCGCCTGGCCGAGGCAGTGACTGGTGTGCTCTGGGAGATCCCAATCTACCCAAGGGGGAACTCACTTAGTGTTCAGCTAAAGTGCAATGCACTCTTATCAGTTTTGGGGTTCACGGTGGAGAGCAGTTCATTCACATTATGTCACAGCCACTAATTCTGAAATGGCTGTCCGAGAGAAACTGGCCCGAGTCAAGGCAATTAATTATTTTCACTTCTAAAGTGCATGGTGCATGCCATCCTTCTGATTAATAAATCCGCTCATCAAGACATTTCATTTTTCAAATATGAGACTCGGGTGCAACATTAATATTTGTGCCTGTTTTCAAATTTTACACCAGAAACAACTGATAACAAAACCAATAATGAGCGTGCTTACTTCGAGCCTCCATGATCATATCTGTGGGCGCAATGCCGATAAAGCACGCTCTTAGTCTAAACCTAAACCAAAAACTGTCCGCAAGTTCAGGACCAGTTCAGCCCCGAGTGAGCGTCCTTTCCTCGAGGCAGAACAGAATCTCGTGGAGCGCACATAGCGCCCCCGACCACGGTCATCTCGGCCACGCGCTTTTAGTACGTCTTTTATATTGAAGGAGACTGAAGATACCACCAAGACCTTTTGGGTGGCCTTTCTGCTGTTATAATTTAATTAGGAGCATGATTTATAGTTCATGTAAAACATATTTACTAAACATGCATCACTGGTTATCTTGTTCCTTCTCCAGGTGCTGCTATCCAGCTCTACGTCACAGCCATGAAGTGGCCATGGGGTGAACTATGTACAACTGCTGTCATTAGTACTCGAATCGGCAGAGCCACCTACTAGCTGTGAAGCCCAGTTGCCAGGCAGCAGATACTCGACCAGCAACCAGCCTTTGTCGCTCTAGTGGGACACGAGAGCGACAAACAGAAACAAACGACAGCTACAAGCCTCCAACCCATTCAGCATGCCCGTGGTGGTACTTTTGGCAGGCTGCGTTTATTCGTTCGGTGCTCGTGAAATAAGCATGAGTGATTCTAAGCCTGCCAAAGATACCCTCGCGTGCATGATGCTTGTGTTTAAGCATAGCCTCCTTTATTCTACAAAGCCTGTCAAATCTGGAAAGACTCAGGTTTGAGACTTGTCGTCATTTGTTTCTGTTTGTCGCTGTAGTGGAACTCGGGCATAAGCTAGCACCATGTACTGAACATGAAATAAAAAACCTCTGTATCAAACTTGACTTGATTTTGCAGCTTCATTTGCATGCCAACCGCACAATAAATACAGCAGCTCGCGCATGTTTTCAACTTTCATTTTATTGTTTAAGTATTCTGAGAAAATTACTTTAGCAGCTCCATTAATCGTGGGTCACTAAATCCGGAACAAGGTAGCAACCAGTTTTTTTCTGCACACAGCACCAAAAATTGGAGATGTTTGACTCTATCATATGCCACAAAAAACATCCTTTGAATGACAACATAGACTTCCTTGGGAGAAGTCTGTAAATTCCCCGTATAGCCAAGATTGAATGACCAGAGAACTCCCACCCTGGCCCACACTGCATTTACACCGTTTTGCCAAGCTTGACTGACCACTGAACTGCCAGTGTGGCCCAGGATGCATTTAGACCGTTTTGCCAAGCTTGGCTGACCACTGAACTGCCAGCCTGGCCCAGGCTTGTTTTACACCGTTTAGCCAAGCTTGGCTGTACAAGGAACCCCCACTGAACTGCCGGGCCGGCTAGCCAGGCTGGGGCTAGCTTGCCCCTTGGAGCAAAACGGTGCTTGGGCCAGGGAAACTTTCCTCGGCTGCCCAAGCCGGCTCAAGCTTGAGCCGGTGAATTGTGCTGCTTGGGTCCCAACGTTTTTTTGGCAGTTCCGCCCGGCTCAGGAAGCCACAAAAATCGCCTCAGAATATCGAATTTTCGATAAGAAAGTAGCTGTGTATGTCTAGTATCATATTCGAGGAGAGCATTTTGATATTTATAATAATCATTTTTCTCAATTCCCGTCCCTGGCACCGAAAACCGCGTCTTTCCCTCTGGAGACTAAGTCCCAACGTTTTTCTTGGCAGTTCCGGCCGGCTCAGGAAGCCACAAAAATCGCCTCAGAATATCGAATTTTCGATAAGAAAGTAGCTGTGTATATCTAGTATCATATTCGAGGACAGCATTTTGATATTTATAATAATCATTTTTCTGTATTTTTCTCAATTCCCGTCCCTGGCACCGAAAACAGCGTCTTTTCGCTCTGGAGACTAAGTCCCAACGTTTTTTTGGCAGTTCCGCCCGGCTCAGGAAGCCACAACAATCGCCTCAGAATATCGAATTTTCGATAAGAAAGTAGCTGTGTATATCTAGTATCATATTCGAGGACAGCATTTTGATATTTATAATAATCATTTTTCTGTATTTTTCTCAATTCCCGTCCCTGGCACCGAAAACAGCGTCTTTTCGCTCTGGAGACAAAGTCCCAACGTTTTTCTTGGCAGTTCCGGCCGGCTCAGGAAGCCACAAAAATCGCCTCAGAATATCGAATTTTCGATAAGAAAGTAGCTGTGTATATCTAGTATCATATTCGAGGACAGCATTTTGATATTTATAATAATCATTTTTCTGTATTTTTCTCAATTCCCGTCCCTGGCACCGAAAACCGCGTCTTTCCCTCTGGAGACTAAGTCCCAACGTTTTTCTTGGCAGTTCCGCCCGGCTCAGGAAGCCACAAAAATCGCCTCAGAATATCGAATTTTCGATAAGAAAGTAGCTGTGTATATCTAGTATCATATTCGAGGACAGCATTTTGATATTTATAATAATCATTTTTCTGTATTTTTCTCAATTCCCGTCCCTGGCACCGAAAACAGCGTCTTTTCGCTCTGGAGACTAAGTCCCAACGTTTTTCTTGGCAGTTCCGGCCGGCTCAGGAAGCCACAAAAATCGCCTCAGAATATCGAATTTTCGATAAGAAAGTAGCTGTGTATATCTAGTATCATATTCGAGGAGAGCATTTTGATATTTATAATAATCATTTTTCTGTATTTTTCTCAATTCCCGTCCCTGGCACCGAAAACAGCGTCTTTTCGCTCTGGAGACTAAGTCCCAACGTTTTTCTTGGCAGTTCCGGCCGGCTCAGGAAGCCACGAAAATCGCCTCAGAATATCGAATTTTCGATAAGAAAGTAGCTGTGTATATCTAGTATCATATTCGAGGACAGCATTTTGATATTTATAATAATCATTTTTCTGTATTTTTCTCAATTCCCGTCCCTGGCACCGAAAACCGCGTCTTTCCCTCTGGAGACTAAGTCCCAACGTTTTTTTGGCAGTTCCGCCCGGCTCAGGAAGCCACAAAAATCGCCTCAGAAGATCGAATTTTCGATAAGAAAGTAGCTGTGTATATCTAGTATCATATTCGAGGACAGCATTTTGATATTTATAATAATCATTTTTCTGTATTTTTCAATTCCCGTCCCTGGCACCGAAAACAGCGTCTTTTCGCTCTGGAGACGGTCCCAACGTTTTTCTTGGCAGTTCCGGCCGGCTCAGGAAGCCACAAAAATCGCCTCAGAATATCGAATTTTCGATAAGAAAGTAGCTGTGTATATCTAGTATCATATTCGAGGAGAGCATTTTGATATTTATAATAATCATTTTTCTGTATTTTTCTCAATTCCCGTCCCTGGCACCGAAAACAGCGTCTTTTCGCTCTGGAGACTAAGTCCCAACGTTTTTCTTGGCAGTTCCGCCCGGCTCAGGAAGCCACAAAAATCGCCTCAGAATATCGAATTTTCGATAAGAAAGTAGCTGTGTATATCTAGTATCATATTCGAGGACAGCATTTCGATATTTATAATAATCATTTTTCTGTATTTTTCTCAATTCCCGTCCCTGGCACCGAAAACCGCGTCTTTCCCTCTGGAGACTAAGTCCCAACGTTTTTCTTGGCAGTTCCGCCCGGCTCAGGAAGCCACAAAAATCGCCTCAGAATATCCAATTTTCGATAAGAAAGTAGCTGTGTATATCTAGTATCATATTCGAGGACAGCATTTTGATATTTATAATAATCATTTTTCTGTATTTTTCTCAATTCCCGTCCCTGGCACCGAAAACAGCGTCTTTTCGCTCTGGAGACTAAGTCCCAACGTTTTTCTTGGCAGTTCCGCCCGGCTCAGGAAGCCACAAAAATCGCCTCAGAATATCGAATTTTCGATAAGAAAGTAGCTGTGTATATCTAGTATCATATTCGAGGACAGCATTTTGATATTTATAATAATCATTTTTCTGTATTTTTCTCAATTCCCGTCCCTGGCACCGAAAACCGCGTCTTTCCCTCTGGAGACTAAGTACCAACGTTTTTCTTGGCAGTTCCGCCCGGCTCAGGAAGCCACAAAAATCGCCTCAGAATATCGAATTTTCGATAAGAAAGTAGCTGTGTATATCTAGTATCATATTCGAGGACAGCATTTTGATATTTATAATAATCATTTTTCTGTATTTTTCTCAATTCCCGTCCCTGGCACCGAAAACCGCGTCTTTCCCTCTGGAGACTAAGTCCCAACGTTTTTCTTGGCAGTTCCGCCCGGCTCAGGAAGCCACAAAAATCGCCTCAGAATATCGAATTTTCGATAAGAAAGTAGCTGTGTATATCTAGTATCATATTCGAGGACAGCATTTTGATATTTATAATAATCATTTTTCTGTATTTTTCTCAATTCCCGTCCCTGGCACCGAAAACAGCGTCTTTTCGCTCTGGAGACTAAGTCCCAACGTTTTTCTTGGCAGTTCCGGCCGGCTCAGGAAGCCACAAAAATCGCCTCAGAATATCGAATTTTCGATAAGAAAGTAGCTGTGTATATCTAGTATCATATTCGAGGACAGCATTTTGATATTTATAATAATCATTTTTCTGTATTTTTCTCAATTCCCGTCCCTGGCACCGAAAACAGCGTCTTTTCGCTCTGGAGACTAAGTCCCAACGTTTTTCTTGGCAGTTCCGGCCGGCTCAGGAAGCCACAAAAATCGCCTCAGAATATCGAATTTTCGATAAGAAAGTAGCTGTGTATATCTAGTATCATATTCGAGGACAGCATTTTGATATTTATAATAATCATTTTTCTGTATTTTTCTCAATTCCCGTCCCTGGCACCGAAAACAGCGTCTTTTCGCTCTGGAGACTAAGTCCCAACGTTTTTCTTGGCAGTTCCGGCCGGCTCAGGAAGCCACAAAAATCGCCTCAGAATATCGAATTTTCGATAAGAAAGTAGCTGTGTATATCTAGTATCATATTCGAGGACAGCATTTTGATATTTATAATAATCATTTTTCTGTATTTTTCTCAATTCCCGTCCCTGGCACCGAAAACAGCGTCTTTTCGCTCTGGAGACTAAGTCCCAACGTTTTTCTTGGCAGTTCCGGCCGGCTCAGGAAGCCACAAAAATCGCCTCAGAATATCGAATTTTCGATAAGAAAGTAGCTGTGTATATCTAGTATCATATTCGAGGACAGCATTTTGATATTTATAATAATCAATTTTCTGTATTTTTCTCAATTCCCGTCCCTGGCACCGAAAACAGCGTCTTTTCGCTCTGGAGACTAAGTCCCAACGTTTTTCTTGGCAATTCCGCCCGGCTCAGGAAGCCACAAAAATCGCCTCAGAATATCGAATTTTCGATAAGAAAGTAGCTGTGTATATCTAGTATCATATTCGAGGACAGCATTTTGATATTTATTATAATCATTTTTCTGTATTTTTCTCAATTCCCGTCCCTGGCACCGAAAACCGCGTCTTTCCCTCTGGAGACTAAGTCCCAACGTTTTTCTTGGCAGTTCCGCCCGGCTCAGGAAGCCACAAAAATCGCCTCAGAATATCGAATTTTCGATAAGAAAGTAGCTGTGTATATCTAGTATCATATTCGAGGACAGCATTTTGATATTTATAATAATCATTTTTCTGTATTTTTCTCAATTCCCGTCCCTGGCACCGAAAACAGC